AGCATATCTCTGAACTGGACTAAGAGAGGACAAGTGATTTCTCCAAACCCTGTACAAAGTGCTTTAAGAAGAAATTTTATTGAAGTTCCAATTATGTAAGAATTACATCTGATCAGGTCTGAGCCTATGCTTAAAATTGAGATGAATTTCTTTCAAGGAAAGAATAAAGTACAATATGAAGTTCTACGGTGCATATTATAACAATATAAAATGAGAGAAAAATCCAACCCGTCCAAGACAAGCTTCAAGTGATGTACAAGAGCAGATATGTGACACGACACCTGGTTAAATAGAACAAATTGACTAAGTTAATTAAAAAAACAACCATAATAAAATAAAAAAAAATGAAAAATTAGAAGCTAGAAGATGAAGACTGTATTCAACCTGTACACGGGGAATCAACTTAGTAAGAGTTCTAATAGCAGCACGCCGCACTTCAATGTTCCAAGTTTCCATGTAATATACTCTTTAAGGTTATTATCATATCGAACGAACAGTATGAAGAAGTTCAGGCAGAACCTGATAGGAGCAGTTTCATTCAAAAAATTATTAGCTTTAACAAGATCACTATGATATGAGAGAGAGAGAGAGAGGTTAACAAGATCACGATGCTAAATGTAATTATGAACTTTACATCTCCAAAGCCATAAAGCATTTGCAGCTTTAAATACCAATATCAAAGCCTAGTTGTTTTAGCCTTTAACCCCTTATTTTCTTCTCCTCTAACAACAATAATCCTTCAGATCTAATCAAAATAATTAATGATGTGATTGGATATATTCTCCAACTAGAGAATACTGATGGAAAGCATCGAGTTTAGAATGATAAATTTTGTAAAATGTGAAAAGGTATAAGATGAAAACTTAATGGTTAACATTGGTGCGATGTATAAACAGTAAAATACTAAAATACTGACTGGTAATCAGGAATGTGTGGCGGGACGTGTACTGAATTTTATAGGGAAGTTCATAGTAATGGTTGATTTTATTTTAAAACATTATGAGGATAAGATCGATGAGAGAAAAATTGAGATGAGAGAAAAGTGTATTTTCTTTAAACTTCTGCACGCTATCTCCTTTCTAGAAGAAAGGAAACAAATAGAAAAATCTCTGGTGGGATGAAAATGATATTGTTCTGTAACCAAAACACAGCGGTGCATGCAAGCTAAATGAGACATCTCCAAGATATAAACGGAAAGGTCAGAACATGCAGTTGTTGTTATGGCTTTTGAAGAAATCTAAAGAAGAGGCATGATGAGTTATATACAAGAGCAATAACTTCAA